GTCGGCAGTGTTTGAGAGGGAAAAATGGGTTACAATAATAACTTTATGGTTTGAAATTAAGGTGAAATGATTTCACAAATAAGTGAAATATCACTTTTAAGTATAAATTTAATTTATACTTTATATATACTTTAACCTAGTTATGATTTTCTCAATCACTGTGTCTTAATTCATGTAAACGGAAAAGTTTATACACAGACATTGTATTTTAATATTGTGTAATAAATTGCTGATTGGTTAGTAATTAATAATTACATTAGCAAAAATGTGTTCTCAATTATATTGTTTCATATAATTAGTCAACTTATTTATCATAAATTAATAAATTTATTGAATTTGTTTTAAAAACAGAGTTGAATTTAAATTACAATTTAAATTAATTATTATCACGATGTTTGATAATTTAGTCGCTTAATAAGGCATCGCTCGGCCTCTACTATCGTAAGCGGGGATATTAATGGTCCGACCAATTGGGACACCAATATTGCGCCCACCCTTTGCCCCATTGTTGTCATCGTTGTTAACTGAGTTATATTATTGTGGAATTACCATAAATTATAACAATTAGATTTTTAAAGAATATTGTAATCAATTACTGATTTGTCATATAAATTATAAATGGGATAAATGTTTATAATTATAACACACGAGTACAGCCCTTAAACCACGTTACCTACTCTTGAATTATATAGTTTCATATAATTAGTTAACTTATTTGTCATAAATTAACAAATTTATTGAATTTGTTTTAAATACAGAATTAAATTAATTATTATCACGATGCTTGAGGTTTAGCCGCGAGTCCTGGGTCCGCGGTAAGCACCAGGGATTGATTGCCCTCTACTGCCGGAAGCGGGGATAGGAATTGGCTGTTCAATGTACACACCACTTGGGACACCAATATTGCGCCCACCCTTCGCCCCATTGTTGTTATCGTTGTTAACTGAGTTATATTATTGTGAAATAATGATAAAATTAATACAATTTGATTATTAGATAATATTGAAATAAATTACTGATCTTTCATAGGATTTATGAATGGGATAAATGTTTTTAATTATAACACACGAGTACAGCCCGTAAACCACGTTACCTACTCTTGTGTTCTATCCCCCTCTATAGTTTTCACTACCCTCCTACCCCCTTATTATATGTAACGCTGTTTACTATTTTCCCTAACCCTACAGTTAAGTATATTACTGATTTTCACTCAACTCCGCTTTCACTGCAATCATAAGACACAGACTGGCATTGACTGGATTGGGAAGCAGGTGGTGGTGCGGCCACCCATTCCCGCCCCACCACCACCTCATCATCCATTACAACCCCATCCGATCTTCATAAACATAATCAATACATATAATAAATAATCAGCTCATATAATGGACACACAATTCATTTGAAAATCAGTCATAAATATCACATATGAAACAACTAATAGTTTGTTAACAAAATTTTAACACTAAATATAATTTCATTTCTCACCCAATTGTGGCTTTTTCTGTATGAAACCATTGGAAAGCACAACAGCACCGGAATCTGCAAACACTTCAGGAGCTGTTTTCGATCCGGGATTAACGTGACTAAAATATTCACTATCTGTTGGGTCAATAACGTAAGCTTTCAATTGGTTCATCACATCATCGGCGCAGACATCGACACCGAGTATATTGACAGAAGGCTCGGCCCAAACGCCGGCCATCGCTCCCGGTTTGGTCGCGACTGTGACGGGCGTCCGAACCAACGCCACAGCGATGTTGAGAACGTCGGCCACCACTTCCTGGTTGTCGGGCCGCACGTAATGGCACATCATTCTCGCCGTCGGCGCCATTTGACGGGTAGTAACGATACTGAACTCAAAGCCGGCCCTAATATCGGTCGCAATGTCTAAACTCTTGGCCCACACTATGTTTCCCCTTCCCATCACTTCGCACACCAATCGTGTGATAGGTTCGGTCGCAGTCGCTATGAATTTCACGTCCTGTCCGACAGTGATGTCGGTTGTGTCCGCGCGGATCACTTGGAGGTAATTCCCCGACCGGGACTCAGCCCTCTTGGTAGTGGCCAACTGGTAAAAGTGTCCCGGATAAATATATTCGCCCTTAATTATCATAACGTCTCCCCCATCTTTGGGCGGAAATAAGTCCACTTTAATGAGTCCATTGGTCGGCGTCAACACCAATGGTTTGTCCTTCCATTCCTTGCCATCCCATGAATAGCCGTATTTGAGTGTCAGTTGCGGTCCGTTATCGGCCACAGGTTTACCGTCTTGTGTGACCACTTTAATGATAGCCGTGTACTTCAGCCCCGGTTTGTATGTCTCCGGTTTATTTACCAACTCTGCCCACACATCCCTGTTATACGCCATCACTGTATTGGATCCGTTGTACTGTTTTCCGGTCAAACTGTCCCTCACTTGTGCCATGAATTTAATGTCAACGCCATTGGAGGCACGTATGGGTCGATCGAGGTCTATATCGTCGAACAAATGGACGGATATTGTAGCGGTTCCGTCGATAGTAGTCTTTAGTCGAAATTTACCTGAAGTCGAGCATAAAATAATACATTAACGTACATTATTAATATCTAAATCAATACTATATTTAAACTAAACTTTATATACAAATGATCATGAAATAATATATACCCGTATTATAATGATAGTCCCGAACGTTAAGAGTAAGGTCGCCCTTAACAGGCCTGCCATTAGAATCAAATGCTCTAATAGTTGCGTCCACTTTTGAAGCCGAAGATATGGCTACAAATGTTGGCAACACTACCTCCACGTTGAATGTGGGCAACACATTGTCGACCACAATGAATGACTTCGTTGTGTTGCGTCCCAACGCCTCGGCAACGATAGTCCAGTTGCCGAACACCGGCTGACCCGACAGTTGCAGCTCTTCAGCGATGACACCGTTTTTTGCGTAAAGTTTTTTCCATTCAATGACACGCTTTCCGTTGCCGTCCTATCAATTCATATGGTTATCAAATTTAACTCATTTTCAAACCTAAAAT